ATCGTATGAATGAAATTGTTCAATTATTTTATTTTATAATTTATTGCACGGATATAACTTTTACCTGACGATTGAAAATTAGCTCTCATACATATTCATATTCTATACGTGGTAGAGCCATGCTGCAACTATATTAATAGCATAGTTGTAGCACGAATGGGTCGGCTCGACCGGGGAAGGACCACGCTCTCACAGAATACCAGCGTAAAATAGCAGCTTAATAATGTTGTGTTTCGCATGGTAAGTATAGAGAACCGGAGACCTTTTTACGGGAAACGAGGCATTCCATCTTAGTCCTCACGGGTGACAACGCAACTGCATTTTGATTCGTAATCAAGGATAGATGTAGAAGTCTATGGACCGCAGCAACCACTTATCATCAGGTGAACTGTGTACTCGCTTGTCACCCTTATCCTATTAAAAAAATATATTTTATACTATTACAGTATTCTGTTAGTATTATTCGTTTTTCGTTGCCTTCTTTTTAATAAGGAATATACAATACGCGACATCCGATCGTTTTCATCGACGATTATTAAAGGTGGCCTATTAAAATTCCAGTCTCGAATAAGGAATTTCAATAGTGGAACTCGTCCCGATCGGTACGGAGCATGAGCGCTTTCCCTCCCATTCATTTGCTTACTTTTATGTGCTCCCGACCTTTATTTGGGTTTTGGGATATAGAGAGATCAACAAAGACAAATTCTCATATCATTACAGACCGTAAATAAAATTAAAAACGCATAAGTATATAAAGTAAAGTAAAGTAAAGTTGCAGCCTATTTACGTCCCACTGCTGGGCACAGGCCTCTTCACATTTCTGAGAGGGTTTTATGGCAAGGAAATGTTCGCCGCGCTGCCCCAATGCGTGTTGGCGAACTTCACATGTCTTCGAAATATATTTTTTTCTTATTTCTCAGACATGCAGGTTTCCTCACGATGTTTTCCTTCACCGCCGAGCACGTGGTAAATCAGCACTTAAAATTGCAATTAACAATTTCATTGGTGCCGGCGGGGATCGAACCCGGGTTGCTCGAGTACTGTGAAGCTTACAGCGAGCGCTAACCATCTGAGCTACCACGGCTCTCATAAGTATATGTTTTTTTTTAAATATAGGATAGGGTGACAAACGAGCACACAGTCCACCTGATGGTAAGTGGTTGCTTGTGGCCCATAGACATCTACATCTATACTCGATTAAGAATCAAAATGCAGAAGCGTTGGCCACCCCTGAGGACTAAGATGGAATGCCTCGTTTCCAGTAAAAAGATCTCCGGTGCTCTATACTTACCATACGAACTCAGCAGTATTAAGCTGCTATTTTACGCTGGTATTGTGAGAGCGTGGTCCTTCCCCGGACGAGCCGACCCATTCGTGCTACAACTATGCTACTAATATAGTTGCAGCATGGCTCTACCACGTATAAATTAATACAGTTTACGTATTTAGATTTATATAAATTACGTTACTTATTCGTCTTCTTTACATTGACGGTGAATAAATTTATTTACACATGTATACCAGGTGGCGTGTTGCGATAGGCAACTTACGAGATTAAGCTGAATTATAAGATTACGAAAAGTTTCTCTCGGAGGAATCTCGTCAAGAAAAACTATTTAAAATGTTACAAAAATGTTTTTTACTTTATTACTGCAAAATCGAAAGGTAGAAAACCATCCAATGGGTTTAGATAACGAGCAATGGTATCATAACAGAGGATAAGCGCTACCCTAAATTTCACAGTACCAGAGCAACCAAAGTTCAATTTCTCATCATCAGCAATGTATAATATGTATGTTGTTTGCTTAAAATAATTCTAAGGTAAGTTGCGAAATTTGGAGTGCTTTGAGTTTTTCTGTACTTTGAACATAATAAATAAACCTGTAAAAATAATAAAGATATAATAGATTATTAATAAAAAGCTTGTAATCTGATGCGTATGTGGTTGCAAATTTTAATTAGGTACATGCACTTGGAACTGGCATCGTAAGTAACAAGGTAATTAAAAGAACATGTTCTCTACTATTTGATAAATAACCAAGCGTGATGCAAGAAAAAACAAAATTTGAAAAAATCGGACATGAACGTACTACGCGAGATGTGGGCAAGGCTGGAAATTAGTGTACTGTGGCCAGTCCATTTCGTAGTTTTATATAATGTGGATTGTAAAAATTAGGCTTAAGATACAGCCATAAGGTTAATTCTATTGTTTTTTAATACTTTGTTTTTTGTAAATTATTCTTAATCCTATATTCAAGTCGTGCTCAATCCACGAATAAACAAACCTCTTCTCTTTTTTATTTCTTTCAATTTTGAGTGCTTATTTATCAAGCGAAGAGAAATAAAACTTGTGAGAAAACTTGCATGTCTAATAAAATTTGAGATTATTGTTAAGACTAATGTTACTGTAAATAATAAACTTAATGTTAACCATGTTATCTATTTGTAATATAAAATGTTCGCGGTTTTACAAACTGGCACGCCGCACCTTAACCTACTTACGACCGGTGCCACCTAGTTTTATAAAAACTAAAACAACACACTACTCGGTTAATCTTAAGTGTATTCGATCTATTCATAGCTTATTAGCATGAAAAAAAGAAAACATTAGCCTACGCTCAAAACTAAACCTAAGTTTAGCCGCCTAATCTTAAGTTTATTATTTACTAGCTGACCCGGCGAACTTCGTACCGCCCAACAGTCGATTCTTTAGTTATTTTTTTTATACTTATTCTACTATTCGGGCACCCTGTCAGCTACTAACATAAAAATGAAAAAAGAAAGTTGATAAGTCAACAATTACATTATGTCAAAAAATAAAAATTATAAAACACTATTGACAAATATTGAAATTAATATTAATTTGTACGATACTAACGTCACTAAATTGTTTTGCCTTCCCGGAACCCCTCCACAATCATAGTAGAATTTAAATCGGTATAAGTGATAGAATATCGTCATTTTGCATGCGCTGCGTGTTTATATTGTGCTAGTGAACAAAATTAATTTGTTATCAATATGTGGAAAAAAGAAACAGATTTAGTGCAGTTAGAAGATCATGTTAAATCTATTAAAAAGTTATCCAACACCGTTCCCAAGATAAGATTTTTTGATCTTTTATATGTATCTCTAAAGAAAATTATATGTTATGTTGCAAAAACTGCTATAACAGCGTAAGTAATAAAAATATTATATTATACAACTGATTAAAAACCAATGGCTGTATGATAGAATCCATAATATACATAGTACAGCTACTAAGACTATATTAAGACCCTCGAAATACCGTTTAGACTGTTTAACAAATTGTCGCCCTTTGAGGACAGTTAAAACAAAAATTAAAATATAATTTTAGGAATATTAGACATTTGTTTTAGACTATACATTTAATTTCAGTTTGACTAATGATCACTGTGCCAAATTGTGCTTTCATATTCATTAATTTCATTTTTTTACTCTTACCTATACGATCGCTATTTAGTTACCGTTTTTAGTATTTTGTCCTTAAATTATTTGGTTATTTTGATGGCGCGGCAATTTTTTGATAAAAAAACATATGTACAAGTTTACCGTAAACCTAATTTTGCACTTTCAATTCACCAATTCGTCGTTGACGCCGCTAAGGGGCGAACCTCAATTGTTCAAAAAATTACAGGAGAGCAAGAAAACATTTATTATTCCCCGATTACTAGGGTTTTTCATCAGAAAATTAAATATATTAGAATTAATAGAAAACTACAAATAAGATGAATTATCAATCACCGTCAAAACAAAACCAATCCGAGTACAATATTAATATGTGAGATATATTTTTTTTACTCAAGTTTTTTTATAAATATAATCAAGTCATCAAAAATAAAGTTCTTTTTGTTTTATATTCATTTGTAATTCCGTTCAAAAACCAATTTAGAGCGCTTACCTTTAAAAGTTACTTAGAAGACAATATATTATATTTCATATTTCTAAGACAAGCAGGTTTCCTCAAGGTGTTTTCTTAAAATTGCAAATAACTAATTAATTAATTAATGATTAATGGCCGGCGGTGATCAAATTCGGGCTGTGAAATTTACAGGCGAGTGCTTAGTCTCTGAGCTACCACGGCTCAATATAATAAAATCATATTCGTTTAATTGGTCACAATCTCTTTTTCATAAAAAAAATAATTTTGTAAAAATATTCATACTTAAACGAAATTTTGTAGTACTTAATATTATTTTGTAAGATATTTTAAATTATAATTCATAATGAGGGCTAATAATTTTCTGCTCACCAGATTTTTAGTTACACAAAGTCATTTAATTGAGAAATTGGTTTTTAATAAAAGTTTATCAGTTTCTAGAGTATTATGTTAATACACAAAACAATGCGTCAGTGGTTTTTCTTTAATTTTTGCGCGTTTTTAACATTTTTAAAATTTGTCTACTTTTACGAATATTTGTGATTTGGTTTATATATTTTTAATATTATTAATATAAAATATAGCTAATAGTACAGAAAGAAACAATAACCAAAACAAATTAACTTCCCCGCTATGAAATCTGTCAAAAATTACACCTCGCTTTTTAGTGGCGCCGCCCTTGTGGCAGAAAAACTCGTGGATTCCTTGTTAAATATTTTGGATTCCTCATAAAGATGGTTCCTGCCACCTAGTAGTCATTATCAACAACCAATATTTGCGACACACCAAGCGGCGTTACGAGAAAAAAATTCATCATTCTAAGCAACAGAGGGCGCTTAAGTAAGTTTATACATACTATATGGAAAATAAAAAAATATTTTGAACTAGGTATATATGTAATACCTATAACGTTTTACCGCGTTACAGGGCGTTGCCTTCGTGACCTTTATAAGTCCTTATGATCAATAAAATAACGCCAAGCTTTATTTTATAAAATATTGTTATATTCCTTAAGTATACCTGAAGAAGTTGATATCTCCAGATTGTCTATTAAAAAATATTCTATTAATCTTTACTGGAATATCTTATAGCAAACACTTACGTGACTTAAACTGTTGAACTAAGGCAGCGCTGTCGGCCGCGTGATGGTAGTCGTAAACAGAACGGCCCACCAACTCGTCAGGCTCGAATCCCAGGGTATTCATTAAACTGTAACAAAAAAAGAAATAACAAATTATCAATTATTCTTTTTCTACTATAATGGTAGTCGGTACTTAATTCTTTTATTCTGTGATTTTACGACAGTAGGATATAATATAAAATTGTAAACATAAAGTTTCTAGTCGTTCCAAATCGTAAAGTAAAATTACAAAAAAATAAAATGTTAAATGTCTTCGGTTTTGTATAAAATGTTTGGGATATATATATACAATATGACAAGATACAAGATAGACAAATGCTGAATAATTGCTAGAGACAACTTGAAAATTGTGGATATCAATCAATTCAGTCGAATTTTTTTAAAGGTATAAAAATTAAGATTAATTATTAAAATTAATTTAGAAATAACACAAAACAGGTAAAGGAATGTTTTATTAAGTGGATACCAAAGGTCATTTCCCAATGTGACCTAATGTTTCCATGATTTAGGTTATGTTTACCGGTAACTCAACGTTAACCTTGAATGACCTATAGTCACTATCCCACCGCTTAATGTATAAAACTTTAAAACCCTCACGAAAATTGAAATAATGAATATATAAGCGTAAAAACTTTAAATCTGAGAAAATAATGCACCTTTCTATTCATTTTTCAAAAATCCCGCCACTCTCAAACTAATAACAAACTTTGATATATTTTTAATAATAACAAACCACTGCCACGATTTTTAATCACACTAGGAACCACACTACACAACACCTTTGTTACAGTAAAACATTTTAAAACACTCGAACTTTATCACGAACTAAGGAGCGGAGACGAGAAATCGCATCATGTTTAACCTACAAAATACATTTGAAGGTGATATTTTTGTTGATATAATACAACCATGGACTGAGGAGGCATTATAAAGGTCATAGCACACTGTTTAAAATAGTACCTAAATTTTGCCTCTTTATATGAGTAGAGAATTATTTTCAGCGCCATCTTTTAGCTGTAATATGTAACGTTTTAACTTTAATACGAATGTCAAGAGGCGTAGAACAAACTTAAAAACTGACAAATGGGCAGATTATTTTAAAAAATATCGGAGATACCATGTAGAGTATCTAAATTTTCTGGAAAAAACAAGCAAAGTTTAGCAAATCTTAGTTTTTATTTCTAAGGAGCTTTAAGTCAATTGATCTAAAACGTTTGGAAGGTGATGCAATTAATATTAATTGGCATTCTGCTGTTATTCCCGCAAACCAAAATAAAATCTGCTTTCAATATTTACGATGTTTGTGCATCTTTTATGTGAGTTACAGTAAAACAAACATAAACCAGAAAATCAGACTTGTCCAAATAATAAAAATTCAAATTTTAGCCTTATATCTTTGATTGGCTGAGATGTAATGTATAGAAGAAAGCACCCACTTCAGAAGCTATTACGTGATTTTTTTAAGTTCATTGAAATTAAAAAAAATTGTTGACTAAACATCAAAAATAAAAACCCTTTTTCCACCCATAGGGATGGATTTTTTACTCCTAAATCACAACTTATTTAATAAAATAGAGTCATTCTAATCTGTTCACAATTATTGACAAAAGTATTTGCGTAACATGCATGTACAAAAAACATACAGTTGAATTAACAAACAACCTCCTAGGTTTTGGAGTCGATTAAAAATACCTTACGAAGAGCCAATCAACGAAAGCATTAATCATTAAAAACGTTCTGTGTCAAGATGTGATGCACAGATGAGTTATATTCACGATGTAAATGGAAATGCCCAATACGTTCACATATGAAAACATTTCTAACAAACTTATGTCTAGTGACACTAATACCATTTTAGATTTCACTGCACTCAATCGGAACTTTTCTTAATACTTTAAATCTTCTTTCTAACATTCTCATAAAAGTAGAGTAACAGTGTTTATTGCTTCATATTGTTTGTATAAAATGTGCTTTACAGTTGTTAGAGTTTGCTATTCATAAATTAGCACATTAACCATTTCTGGGTTACAAAATTATTAATAATAATTATTATTATTAGTACTTAGTAGAATCTTCTTATCAGTTTATACTATTTATAATATTTTAAATGAAATTAAAAGCCAATGTCATAATTTAAATGAAGTTCAACTTATATGAAGTTTAGGTAGGCATATGTCCCTTTGGTCTATTTCCGTCAAATCGTCGGCGATTTTGCATTAAAATGATTTAACCTATTATTTTGAGAGTCTTAATTTAGAGTTACTTTCAATGAGTATTATATATAATCTATAATGAAAAAAAAAAAGATCACTGCTTCTGTTTCTGAACCGATTTTTAACAGAAGCGAGCTGCTTTCCGACTTGCTGGAATAAGGCAATTGTCATTAACTCTATGAAATATATAAATTCCTCTTTCTTTTACGTCTTTATCCCCATTTCGAATCAATCAACATTTTAGTATTTCAATTTCGGCGGTCGTGTCTGAAGTCCTAGAGAACACAGTGCCAAGGCTTTATTTATTTAACAATTTATGTACACACAAAATAATGTTACAAGGAAGAGAAAAAAAAAGATATTTTGTACAAAGGCACTGCTTATTTCATATTGAAATTTCTTCCAGCAGGCCTGATACTGGACAAATTAAAAGAGAAGCTGATCTAGTGTGCACTCTCATAATAAAATTTTATAATATTAATATACTTAACATAAAGTAAAGATAATAAAAACAAATATCCATGTAAACATACATATAACTAAATACCACTATAAATACATATAAAATTTTAATACATATAAAATTTCTAACTTTTACCGATCTGTTTAGTAATTTCAAGCTGATTTTCGCTCCTGATACAGTACAGCCTATGATATCGTACATCGTTGAGTATCGAATGACATTCGCTGGGCTAAACGCAAAAAAATTTCTTTTGGACTTCAGCAGTGAATTTTATTCCTTTGACCAGACCCACTTTGTCTTCTATAAGGCTTTTGTTCCTCATGATGTTGTTCCTTTCTCGACTCCTTATTACATGTTTACTCATACTGCTGTTGCCCTCTGTTCTTACTTATAAACCTACTGTACTGGCATAGTATGGTTAATGCAGTAATAGTTTGCAATTGTGCCAACTGCCCAAAAACAAAAATACAGATGAGGCTATTAAAATTATGTATGATTACTGGAGTAGCACAAGCAATTAGGCAAAATCCCAAGCTCACATGTGTCTATTTGACTGACAAGACCACTCAGTCTTTACTGTAACCGACTTCTGATGGTAATATTTAGACATACCATACACACATTGCTAATAATTTGGCAGTTGTATTTTTAACATTAACTTGTCTAGGGTTGCTCATATTTATATGTTTAGCAGGGTTGTGAACTACTACTTGCAATCTCTCAAACGTCTGTATGTGTTTTTAGTTCTAAAAACAAATATACCCTTAACTCAATCAGTTTATCTTCCTCTTACATTTGTTTATTTTCTGGACATAAGAGACAAAGTAGAATATCATTAAAATTATGTACACAGGTTTATTTTAGCTAACGTAAGTTTGATCACATTTAAGCACAGGACCTAAGCACTAGGTTTACTCCTTAATGAGCGTTTTTAGTATCCAGTATTTAGCTAAACTCAGTACCGGACCACAAAATCTCTACTTCCTAAAACACCTTATTTATGCAGTCGATATGGCATATCTACATGCTTAGCTCCTTTCTTGGCATATTTTGAAAAATAATAAAGAAGCATAATCAATCAACTTAGAATTATAAATATTGCACTTGAATTTAAATAGAAATAATCGATATAAATAGACAAGTATTTATATTTATTGCCACGTATTTATTATGTGTATATGTCACAGTTAAAAGTCATAACCGGTTAAAACCAATTTGACTGCAAAAATTAGGCAAAAATGGCTTTGACCGATGCCCTTAGTCAAAAACAGTTTTAACTGATTTTTGTAGTGAAAAGTGGTTTTAACCAACGTTCTTAGGCAAAAGTGGTGTTGTCTAATTTAAACTTCAGACTATCGGTCGAAACTCGCAATATTAGAAACAGTAGGTTAAGGTGCGGCTGGGCCACCCTAAAGCCGCGTACAATATAATGATAAAAAATATAATATTGAACAAATTGAACTTTTTAATTTCAAGTTTTGACTAATATTATTGGTCAAAATCACTATTACCCAGTATTTTTGCAATTAAAAGTGGATTTCACCAACGACCTTAGTCAAAACTACTTTTGACTTCAAAAATCAGTTAAAAGTGGTATTGACAAACGTCCTTAGTCAAAACTTACTGTTGCCTGTTTTTTTATAGGATTTTTTAAAGTCTAAAGTAGTTTTGACCGGTTGTGAGTTTTGACTGTAACATATACATGACATATATAAAGAAGGAATAAGATGAAATGCTTCACAACATGTTTTTATACTGTTTCTGTTTACTCTTCAAACTGGAACACAGTTGTGCAAGCAATTCTATTTGGCAGCAGAAACACGTAAGATAGACCCAGACAGATAGAAAAGAAGTCCTATAAACAGTCTAAGATACCACCGGTATATTCCTAGCGTTAGACGGAGGTTACACACTCATTCTGGCGTCAGTTCAATCCATGATTGATGTCAAAATGACAGGAAACTGACTGTATACGTGTATACTGATGAATTGATGGTCCAGAATGATGATTATTTAAATATTTTAATAATTTTTGTCAGTCTGGTCAGACTGATCCCAGACTGAATGTGTGTTTAATAGCTATCAGTCTGATGTCATTCACCGATTAGACAGCCATGGAGTTTTTTGAAAAAATAAAACCACAAGCTAATGTAGAAGCCCAGTATCGCCGCAGTAGATCCAACTATCACCGTGAATTATTTAATTATTTCTTGTTAAAATCAATACCTAATGCGTATGCGTGTTATCGCGTATAAGTTTTCGGTTGGACTGATCGTCAGTCTGACTTACCGTCTAATAGCTCCCGTCAATCATTCATTCAGCCATCAGTCTATACGTGATCAACGTCACAGACTGAACTGACGCCAAACTTAACGTGTAACCTCCATATTACTCCCTATTTACATTATCCAACAGTTTACAGATAGCCTTCTAGATCATTATCGGTTAGTCTGCAATTATTTAGAGCCGTGGTAGTTCAGGAGCTAAGCCAAGTTAACCAGAGTTCGATTTCCGCCGATACTAATGGAATTTTTTATATTAGACCAAGGAAGAAAGAAAAAACAGAGCGCCGCATACATTTAAAATGATGCAAAAACCACACCAAAACCGTAACTTATTATGCAATCACAACATGGTTTTAGGTGGAAGTTGAGCATGGTTTTTGGACGTCTGCATACTTGAAATAAGCTGAGATTGTTAATTGCGATTTTAAATGTTTATTTACCACGTGCTCGGCGGTAAAGAAAATCATGATGATAAATTCACTTCTCTGAAGAATATAACATTTCGAGGACATGTGAAGACCGCCAACACGCATTACAGAAGTGCTCCAAGTAGTAGTCTAATTGCTCCAAAAACCCTCCTCTCCGAAATCAGCGGAGACCCGCTCGGCACTTTAGTACACCTTTCTTCCTAATATAGACTATTATTTTAATGTTTGGAATATTTTGCATGCAGTATATCTTAGTATATATCGTTAAATATCGTAGTATATACCCATCACAGAATTTCCTTCTTCACAGTTAGCATTTATTTGACTCCCTACATAATACATTTTCTACCCAAATCCCAACTTTTCCTCTGATGATGAAATGTAACTTTGTACGCAGTGAGTCTATAATTAAGTCACTCTTTCGATGTGTTAAATTTCGAAATATTACGTCAAATGATTTTAGAGAAATATAGCAGATGGAGAGATGAAGTTAATCAGTAAGATTTTTACAACAATATCACTTCAGTTCTACTAATTTTGGCACAGAACTCTAAAAACATTAATATTAAGTTAAAGTACTGACCCTTCATCGGTGTAAGTGAATTTCATATCCAAGCTGTGTTTGGATAAGAAGGTCTTGCTATCGAGGGGGATTTCTATATTGGATGGATGCGGAATGGGCCGTCCCACAGCCACAAGAGCTCCGGTTTTGTTTGTTATCTTAGCCACTTCACCCTCCATCTTCTTATCGTCTGCTTCATTGTTGTTGTTCTCTGGTTCGTTCTCATTTCTACCTTCGGATGTTGCCAGCATATGACCAGTTACATGTATAACCTGTAAAAATATAAAAGAATTGTGATTATCGTATATAATTCCGAAAGTTAAATAAATCAATAAAAAGAACGAAACAACTAATTAGTTGGTGATGGCGACGACGAGTTTGGGCTTTACGGAGTTTAATGTTAGAAAAGTGCTGGTAAGACTATCACGGTTCTTTGAAAAATGTTAACCAAAGGGTTTTAGAGCCCAAGAAGAGACACCACTGGTGATAAGAGAGCTGGTTCTTTTCTAGCTCAAAAGCTAAACATTCACCAGATTGCTAAGTAGCACAACCAGCGTTCTGGCACTATACCGCGATAAGTAGGACTGTATGATAATTTTAGTTTATTAACATTATATCCCGGTACGGATTTTAAGATGGGTCGCACATATTTTTTCTTTAGGTAAATTACATAAAATTAACGTCGTTTATGTCGATCGTATTTTTTTTTTTACAATAGCACAGAGCTTGAACTGTTGTAAAGGGGCAATAAATATTACAATAACATCCAAATGAATATTTAATAAGATTTTCTATAGACATATGAACATGAATACCAGCATAAAATAGCAGCTTAACGCTGCTGTGCTTCGTGTGGTGAGTGTAGAGAACTGGAGCTTGAACTGGAACTTTTTACTGGAACTTTTTACTGGAAATGAGGCATTCCATCTTAGTCCTCACGGGTGACAACGCATCTGCATTTTGATTCGCAAACGAGGATAGATGTAAATGTCTATGGGCCACAGCAACCACTTACCATCAGGTGGACTGTGTGCTCGTTTGTCACCCTATCCTATAAAAAAAGACAACATAAATTTATAAACCAGTAGCTGATGTCCGACTCGTTGCGTCGTTGCTGCCGCAGAAAATATAATTGCGGAAATATCGTTTTAAATTTGGAAGAGTTAAATGGTTTAATTAGGAATTATAATACATTCATTAAAGTTGAATGATATATAAATTTCCTGTGCCTATAACCTTCGCGCAAGTGCAAGCAATAAGTTAAAGTATTACCGCAATCTAATGAACGGTATGGCAGCGCCTAAAGTACGTACAAAGAAACGTTAATTTTTATATATTAGAAAGAAGGTCTTATGCAAATTATAAAAATTAACGATTTCAAGCCGCTAGGGAGAAGAGTATAATATGGTGAGATAAACTGCACGTTCGAGGGAATCGAGAAGTTGCAGTTGAAAGTCCGGTAACACGTATTTGGGGCAGCGTAACGGGCTCTTGTCCACTCTAATCATATCACATCGCAAATCAGTCGCAGTCCACAGCTGTACATGGAATAAACTTTCAAGAATACGCCAGATGATATGTTTCTTAAAATATTTGCCTATATTCACTACGCTGGACGGGTGGGTTTGGACAGGTGCTACCACATAGTTGGAGTTCGATTCGACATTTTTGTATTGATTGTTCGCTATTGGTGTGTCATCGACTGCAATATGTTCTTCAAAAGTATTTTAAAGCGTCAACGCAATTCATTACATTCATTTATATTACCCAGGACCTTTTCTTCTGAATTAGGCTTCTATTAAATTATCGTTTGTGCGAATACGCTAAGAAGCATTACTAATAACAGAAACAAGTTTTGCGTCGCTCTTAGTTAATGGTCTGGAGTTTTCAAAAATTCTAAATCCGATATTTAAGGAAGTTTTAGGTTGTTGAATTAAAATCCACCATGATAAAAATTTGTTAAGTTGTTCATTATTATCATTATCATCCATACAGCTTATCAAAACAGACACTGAGACAGATCACTGCTGAACATAAACCTCCTCCATAGATTGCCTCAAAGGGGTTATATTTGACATAGTTGCCACGCTTGGCAGGCAGATGGAAACCACAGTTTTCTATTATTTTGTGTTGTTGTCTCTATCTAATTTTATTTCCCTTGCCTCCACCACCGGATGATATGGGGTAGTGGATTCTCATACGCCACCACTACACTGTAGTGGCTTGCGATGACTTGCCTTACTACACGATACGATAACAACTTTGAAGTCGCCGTAAGCTATATTTTGTTTAATGAATTGTTTCTCCCACACATTTTGTGAACAATTAAACCGACCGTAAATGAAAACGTAGTTTTTTCTTTTTAATATAGGAAGAGGCATTTAAGAATGAAATAAGTTGCGGTGAGTAAAGAAATATGTTTATTTAGAATTAAGCAGACTTGCTTATTAATATTCGGTATCGCCAGTAAACACGCTTAAACAAAATTGAGGTCAATGTATGCATTAAGGCAAATAAGGACCAGATAACTTGTGTATTAGTAATGGACCTTGTGGCGCCACATTGTTGACAGATTATTTTGTCCATAACTATAAGAAGGTCTAACAAACACCGCTAAATAAAATTCATTTGGGCGTTATCAATGTTATGCCTAATGTATACTGTACTCGTGATACAGTTTACTTTTTATTTGTGCTGACAATACGTTTAAATTTTATTATATTTGTGTTTCCTAATCTTAAATAATACTTTAACTACTTCGATGAAGTTCCTGATAAAGACGGAAAAACCCACAGTTTGATTATTATGACAAAACTTTTAACTGTGTTTATAGAAAGAAACTAGTTTTTACTGGAATATTTCGCAAGATAATTTCGATTTAACAAAAATAATTTAGGCTAAAACAAAAAGATCATATTTACTGATATCTAAAATACATAATTGGTGCAAAACGCAAGAGGTTTTTGTATAATAGAATAGAATCTTCAATGCAATGTAATTATATTTACTTATATGTTATTAAACACGATTTTATCATAAATTCAATAATGCTTTAATGATTGGTTAGTTTTTACGATAAATAACAGTTTTTTCCAGAATGTCTTTAAAGACATCGCAGTGACATCATAAAACATCAAATTAATTAAACAGTGTCCTACCTGTACTCTATACGACCCTATGTACTCTAAATAGAGTGGTATAATTTTCCAGCGTCTTTCCATCCGATTACAATATAGTCTTCAAGACAAGATAAGAAAGGATTTCGTTTAGCTACGTCAGTGAGTTTTACCATCTTTGCCTGCATTACCAGTTACTATCAGGTGGTCAAGCACTGGCATATAATAGTGAAAAAAAAAAAAACCGTAACATTCAATTTCTTTAGCCAAGCCCATACAGACTGTATAGGCTTGGCTAAAGAAATTGAATGAAATTAAATGATATACTATCACTTATGGGCGGCTCTTAAGTCATTTTGGCCCTTCAAGTAGTCGGATTATCTTACGCCGCCGATACCTATTAATTATAATTTCCTCCAGACGAATTTCAGTCACGGCGACCCGACCGCACCCATGGTTACGTGGGACGGGGGGGGGCTGAGATGTTTGACGCCCCGATGTCATAGCTAGCCCTTCAGTCTTTGAATATAAATTTTTGGTCCGATCTACGCAGAATTAGCTTAACGGTGGCCCGTGTTGCTCTATGTCAGTAAGGCACCAACGGCTAGTCAAACGTAACGTCGCGTCGTTCGGTATTCAAAACGTCGCAAGTGCTATTTTTTATTATTTCATTAAAAGTAGATAAATATGTTATCAATTACGCGATTCGAAATATAAAACTTATCTCAATTCTCAATGAGACCTCGTCACGACTTTCATTCACTCCTGAACATAGGCCTTCCTCAAGGAATGCCAAAAAGCACGGTCCGCAGCTATTCAGTGTTTTTGTAGTCTGTAAAGTAGATCCCTTTTCCCATTTGCAGATTTTTATAGACGTGATTCATACTCTAACTTCTTTATGTACTTTAGGTATGCACGCGCACGCACGCACCCAAAAAACGAATATGTTATAAAAAAGTACGATCACACAGTTCAACTGATGACAAGTACATGTTGCGATCTATACACACCTACATATATCCTCGATTAAGACACAAAGGTTCTTTACCTGGTAGAACCGACCGATTCGTGCTGCAGCTATAATAAGTTGCAGTGTAGCTCTTCCACGTATAAAATAAGTCTATCACATTAACCTTTTCGAGTGATTCATAGGCTTTTCCAATAACATGCCAGCGGACTAATTAACATCACACGTAATAATCAAACTTCTTACAAATTTTAGCGTGCGCATCATATTTGATGTTTGAATGTAAAGCAATCATATTTTCCGAGCATTGCAAGGTAGCTGGCGTATTCTCTGAAAGGCCTAAGGATATATAACAGGCTAGTGGTAAAGATGATGCTGGTAAAACCAAGGACAAAGTTTTCAGTGTTAAATAAATATTTGTGAAGCTTTTGGACATAAATACGCTTACCTTGTAGGAGGCGGACTTGAGATGCACATTCCTCCCTTTGCTGGTGAGCGTGCACTTCAGACGCAACAAAAGATCACGGCGACCGGTCGAGTTTGTCCGTAACGCCTCACGGATCTCGTCGTGGTCGCACGGATGGCTGAACTCGAATACGCTCTGACCCATTATCTCCATCTATAAATAAAAATAATAACAAAGCAAATAAAAAAATGGTCGTTTGAATCTTCATTCATGTGCGATATCGAATTACCATATGGTGGGTGTAGAGAAAATCGACTTTAGCTAACGATAGATTTGTCGGCATTCGGCAGATGGTGAAATACATAATATAAAAACACAGTGTAAATTAAAAAATATAAAAAAGCAGTTACTAAACTTTAAGTATATTAAAGAACTGGGAGCAAAACCTCTGGTACTGTATTAGAATGAATACCTGGCGATTTGATAATTTTTAAAGATTTTAAGAGTAAAAGGAATTAGAGAGATCTCCCGATAGTTAAGGTATTCTGGCCAATGCCCGATTATTTAGAGCTTGTTCTATATATTTAGCGTCTTTCGAAATTTTTTTTTTATGGGATTTAGTGACAAACGAGCACACAGTCCACCTGATGGTAAGTGGTAGCTGTGGCCCATAGACATCTACATCTATCCTCGTTTGCGAATCAAAATGCAGATGCGTTGTCACTAGTTGAGGACTAAGGTGGAATGCCTCTTTTCCAGTAAAAAGGGCCTCCGGCCACCTGCACTCACCGAGCGAAACGCAGAGGTAAACCTCTACTTCACGCTGGTATTCTGTGAGGTCGTGGTACCACCCCGGTTTAAGCCGGCCCATCCGTGCGACAGCAAAAGCTGTCGCGTGGCTCTACCACTGTCAAAAATTTCGATACTGTGATTTTTATGCTTTGGTTCGTTTACGCTAATGGCGCGACGACAGCGCAGATACGAAGGAAAATATCTATAGAGCGTCTGAATATTTGTAAACAAATGACAATTTTTTTCTCCAATTGCTAACATTGCATACACACAGTGTACCCTGACGAACTGACGATTGATGGAGATAGCAATGGCCATTGAAAGATGACGGAAAATGGTGAACCTATTTATTTATAGACTAGTGATGGAGAGCATGATTACCAGTGTACTCAAGTCAAGTCAAAACATTATTATTTAAAATTAGCCTTTACAAAGCTTAAAGTAAAAAAAGCAACGCCATCTCTGCGCTCAACCATATTCCAATCCTTCCTAATACTCGTCGCGACTGATTTCAGTCAACAAGGTCGGTAAGGAAAGTGCCTAGCTACTCTTCTACATTATTGTTTGGAATTCACACAACCTTCTCGCATAAAATATTAATCTGGCTGCAGCGTTCTCTTATACCTCTTACCGAACTAGGGTTTTATAAAATTAATTAACAATAATTGCAAATACCTATGTGAACTATAATAGCAAGTTAATATAAGTGCTGCGACTATAAAATAGCAATCTTGTAAATGTAAATTGTAAGTTTTATTAACAGTGCTAGAGCCCCGCGGCAGCTTTTGCTGTCGCACGGATGGTCCGGCTCGAACCGGGGTAGTACCACGACCTCACAGAAAACCAGCGTGAAGTAGAGGTTTACCTCTGCGTTTCGCTTGGTGAGTGCAGGTGGCCGGAGGCCCTTTTTACTGGAAATGAGGCATTCCATCTTAGTCCTCACGGGTGACAACGCATCTACATTTTGATTTGTAATAGAGGATAGATGTAGATGTCTATGGGCCGCAGCAACCACTTACCATCAGGTGGACTGTGTGCTCGTTTGTCACCCTTATCGTATAAAAAAAAAGTAAAAGTACAAGTTACGTTTTAAGTAAAACAGAAGTTGTTCAACATTATTTTTATATGTGAGTTTAAGTTTTAACGCCTATAAAAGCATTTGGGATTCATTCTTTTAAAAAGAGTTGTTAACTCTATATTTACTAAGAATTTTCTTTTTATGTTGAAAAATGGGCCGTGACAACAGCAAATTCAAGCAAATTTAGAATATTCCCAAATCTGTTTATTTAGGAGTTTTAATATACCCTATTTAGATGTTAGAGTCAAAGTTTTAATACTTTATTACAGTAAATAATATGTAAGAATAATTAATCGAATGAAGGCATTTCACTGAGTCAATATAGATATCGGGAATTCGGGCAACAATTTTAAACCAACACCTGTTACACATATAGCAAAGTGTTGAAAAATATCTCAGTCAGTTTGACTTGTTTAGAAAACTATTCGGAATGGATTATTTTAGTCACTCACTTCCTGAGTATACAACCAAATTTAAATGATATTTTTAAAGAAGACTACAAGTGTTTTTTTAACAAAGTTATGTAAAATTAACAATATTAATATCGGAAATTATATTTTTAAACCAGTTCTAAACTATTAACTGTGGCTATTTAACATATAGTAAAAATGCTTGAAATTTTTATTTGAGTATTCAAAAAGTTTCTGCATGCCTTAAGCGCAAAGCGCGTAGAGTATGTTCTACTAGCGCCTAAAAATCAATATTACAACGTTTTGTCGCATGAAATCGTATCTAACAATCACATTGAACATATAAATTATATAAAAAGCACATTGTCCCAAAGATAAATGATCGTTGACATTATTAATTCTTTTTTTTTAAATTGATTACTTGCTATTTTTACATAAAAAAGTGGTTTTAGTGGCTTATGGGTGTAGATTTATCAAGTCCGCACGGAGGGGTGTTTTACTTATAAAAGATGGATCTAGATTTACTCGGCTGTTTGGTCTTTAGGGTTTCAAAGTTTGCCGACTTATTTTCATGTATTTATCAAGTACAAAAACTATACTTTTATCCACGAAATATAATTAAATTTTTTAATATATCACTAAATTTTCCAATCGGATATTGAGAAATCAGTAGATAAAAAGTCCGTTAAATTATCTCAATTTAAATCTCATTTTAAACATTAAAATTTTAGATATGCAGTGACCGATAAAAGAAAGTATTAAGATTTAAGACATAAATCACTTATCACATGTCCGAGGACTGTCAAGGTACTCAATACGTCAGTACGTCAATGATAACATCAATATTGGTTGAACGGAAAATGTGTAGATGTGAAATGTGGTGATATCATCTGCCATATTTATATTTTTTTCGCAAAGAATATAAAAGACAGTATTGCAGAAGTTGTCTACATAAGCCTTTCATCTATTTCGTATTGTTATCAGCTATAAATAATTACGTATCTGTTCATTATAGTAGTGCCTAAAGGATCAAAATAAAATCGTACATTGCATTAATTAATACATTACTAGCTGGTACCCGGCGCGTTACAGCCGCGGAAGAAATAATAGAGGAAATATCGTCTTAAATTTGGAAGAGTTATATTGTTTGATTGGGAATGATAATACAGCCAATGAAGTTGAACTATATATAACTTTCAATTAAATTAATCGGTGCGATACGCGCGCCACCTACTGTAAATTAATTGTACTATGGCTATAACCTTCGCGCAAGTGCAAGCAATAAGTTGACAAAATTTTACCGCTGACGAACCGTATGATAGCGCATAAAATACGAACAAGCAAATATTAATTTTTATATATTACATGTGAATTTTAAGTTATTTGTTGTTTATACAGTATGTTATGTAATACTGAACAACAATATTTAATTATAGTCCATTACAATCAACTTAATAATAAGATTTTTCATTTGATTCCTTGGATTTAGATTGCGACCGCATATAGATTTTTTAAAAGATCATATATATACACGGAATTGAATTTTAAATACCAAAACTTAAGAACTACTTTAAAGGAAATAAAATAAGAAATAATTCATGAAAATTCATAAAATTGAGGAAGCAGTTTGAAACCGTATAGATTTAGCACCGACATCCACGAAGAAGTGACGTGTAGTGGCGGTGTAAGAATGTCCTACTACCTCATATCATCCCGTGGGTGTCGTAAGAGGCGACAGAGGGAAACAAATGGGCAGCAGCATCTTCCTTATAACGACTGAAAATAAAAAAAACTGCGATTGCTAACCAGCTTGAAAAACGTGGCAACTATGGCAAATATCCCCCCTGTGAGGCAATCTATGGGAAGACCTATGTTTAGAAGTGGATTTTAATAGGCCGTAACGGTAACAATATCCATGGAGAAGAAACGTTTCCAAGTTACCGTGAAACAACCGCAAGCGCAGTTTAGGGTCTCGTAGTAGAATGGAGGTGTCATGTGTTGGCATTGTTACTTGTTAGTCTATAACTCCATTTCGTACCGTAGATATTATCGTTAGAGACGACTGTGGAACGACAAAAAAAAAGTAATGGTTTCCGATCAACGATATATATATGTACTACGTACTAGATTTCGCATTCCGAACATACACTATGTTCAACTGAACTGTACTGCAATCCGTACAGTGTACATTTAGTGTGGTTTCAATCTACTAGTCAGTCTGTGGTTTCAATATTCATGCAGTGTGGAGCGGCGCTAATAATACAATATTTCAAAAAGTTTAAATTAAAAACTGACCTCGCAGGCGCAACGCGCTTAAATCAACTGCGCATGCGCGACTCTACTATCCCCGACATGACTCTACTATCCCCGACATAGAGTAGTGCACATAATATTTTGTTTAGAATGGCTTCTCTAGTACGTAGTACATATAACTCAAAGTTTCCGATGGCGGTATAACCACCTTGTTACCGTCAGACGTGAAATACCCAGACCGGACAGAATGCAGCGCAAAACACGGGAAACGTCTGGCACTGCGATCGTCAATCGGAATGCCAAGCGTGACGATTCCCCGCAAATCCACTCAACAATGGAAGAGCCCCGTGCCCGGCAGAGGATTTTGCTGATGATGAAGAAGAAGATAAGCATACAATAATTAAAGAAACTTACCTGAGAAACACCAAGATGTTCTGCGATGTTCTCGCTGCAGTAGACGATGTCGCCTTGCTGAGACAACACTAGCACGAAGCCGTCAAGCGCCTTCATATAGGATAGTTCTGACTGTACTTCTTCAAGTCCTTTGGGGCTCTTAATGTTCGACGGTTTAACATCAGCCTCGGGTACTGAAAAGGGCGTTAATTATGATTAATATAAAATGTTTTCTTCACAAAACTAGGTTGGAAGTTTTAACAGAATTCAGTGTTCACTATGCATACTCAAAAAACGGAACACTTATGGAACAAACTATTGAATGTGGATAATTTTAAAATTGGACTTCGTTGAAATAATGCAGTTACCCATGACGTATGGATCAAAATTCTAATTTGTGAAGTTTAACTTCTGCTGACCGTTAGCGTTACAGCCTATTCAAGTCCATTGTTGAAGATAGGGGAGGCCTATTAGAGGAGGGCTATTTATAGGATTATTTTAGGGGGGATATTTGCCATAGTTGCCACGCTTGGCAATCGGGTTTGCAACCGCAGTTTTATTTTTATTTTTAGTAGTTATTAGGAAGACGCTGCTGTCTATTCCGTGATTTGTTTCCGTCTGTCGCTTACGACACCCACAGAATGATAAGGGGTAGTAGATATTCTTACACAGCCTCTATTAAAAAGCAATATAAAGGAAGAGCATTGAACGCGTAATTTCATATAAACAAAAAATATATTATAATCTGTATTTGTAATAACGTAAATATAACGCCTTATATTTTTATACAAGTGTGAGAAACGATCAGACAGTACACCTGTAGGTAAGTGGACGCTGCGACCTACAAGACACCTGCACCTATCCTCGAATTACGAGTCAAATGTATATACGTTGTCACTTCACACAAGTATACTGTTCCCGTCATTCACCATAGAAACAATTGCGTTATTTACGCTGGTATTCTCTCGTCTCGTGCTGCGGCCATAATAACGCGTGGTTCTACGACGTATAATATGATATTCCTTTTTATACGTGGTAGAGCCATGCTGCAGCTATATTAGTAGTATAGTTGTAGCACGAATGAGTCGGCGCCACCGGTCAAGGACCACGCTCTCACAGAATACCAGCGTAAAATAGTAGCTTAACATTACTGTGTTTCGTATGGTGAGTGTAGAGTACCGGAGACCTTTTTAACTGGAAACGAGGCATTTCATCTTAGTCCTCACGGGTGCCAACGCATCTGCATTTTGATTCTTTATTGAGGATAGATGTCTAAGGGTCACAGCAACCACTTACCATCAGGTGCTCGTTTGTCACCCTACCCTATAAAAAAAAGCCAAAGGACCACCTAGTTTTATCTGCCTAGGAGTACATCTGAGTAGACAACACCCGCTTATCTATTTCTACCGCCAATATTAGTGCTTGCACTACTGCGTTTTGGTCTGAATGACATAGGGAGTCAGTATAATTACGTTTTCTGCAGAAGTATATGTGCTGCAGTAGCTACTTACTACTTGGTGGACTGTAAGTACATTTGCCACTTCAGTTTTATTAAAAAAAATATAAGGTTTTTAAATATCACTGTAAAACTAAATACGAACACTTCCGATTCAACTCTTGGCTACTTAAAATATCATTTTCATTCATTAATTACAATCCATCAAAAGTACACTCCTGAACGTAGACCTATGTATATATGCCATAGTTGCCATGTTTCGCAAGCGGGTTGGCAACTGCAGTTTATTATCAGGAACATGCTGCTGCCCATCATCATCTGGTTTAGTTTTCATCTGTCGCCTCTTACGACACCCTCAGTATGATACGAGGTAGTGAATTCTCTCACGCCGCGCCGAGCTGCGTCGCCATTGCACATAACATCTTTATATATAAAAAAAAATTACGTGTCACATTGTTTGTCCGCGATGAACTCCGAAACCATTTAATCGATTTTAATGGAATTTTGTAAATGTGTATTGCTTGCTCCAGCTTGAGAGATAGTTTTATTTCGATAAGTGACAAAGTTGAAAAGAGCAGAACAAAGTCTGCCTGGCCTGGTAGTAACAATATAACTTAAACCTTATTGTTAGAGGATAATATCGTAGCAAATATTACATCATGTTCTTTTAAATTTACAGTTTTAAATAGAATCGTTGAATAATTCAAATACGATTCCACTTAAGACTGTAAATTTTAGGTAAGTCCTAAAACAATGACGTCACCGTTTAAGACAATTACTGTGCAATTAAAACCAGTGTGGTTTTAAAAATACAAACAAGGAAAATCAAAATTAATTTTATTGGCTATCGTTAGCCAACCACAATAAATAGCTATCATTATTAATACATTAGTATGATACACGAGAATACTGTTATGATAAGAATGTTTTAATATAATAAAAAGAATTTGTCATTTTCCACTAGAAATTTAAAAAATATATAAATCATAGTAACAATCGGTTAAAAACTTATGGATCCTAAAATAACATGATTTATATCATCATAAATTATTGTAACATAAAATAAAATTAATTTATAGGAAACTTAAATGCATATCAAATAATTTTACTTCAAAATTTGTATTTAGGAATAGAGTAGGTACCTACTTAGTTGATAAACGAGTTCAAGTTTAAATAACCGAATTTCTAAATGGTGAGCATCAGAAGTAGATTCAATCTAGACGTTTTTAAATACTTGAAAGTTTAAACATAAGCATGCATAACAATGGTTGGTTCATCGTCAAAGGGTGACGCGTGCCCAAGTTTCTAATAAGTCGGAAATTTGCGGTCGCAGGCGGCCAGCCCGCGTCGGGAAAAACGTACGCTATTCGACTTCGTAAATAGACTCTTGCACAAATACGCGATCGTGAAAATATTGCTTTGAAATTTATTTAAAAGAATAAATATTTTGATTGCGTCCCTTCTTTTCAAAATAAAAACAATGTAATTATATAATGTCATTTTTTCATTATCATCACTCGATGGCCGCGAATGCTTACATTCATTATTAAAACGATAATGAATGTAAGCATTCGCGGCCATAGAGTTGGAGTCCTTATAATTTTATAGCTTGAAACACGAAGCTATCGCGTAGTGGCGGTGTCAAAATATCCTTTACCCTATATCACAAGCGTCTTCCTAACAACTAGAAAATAACTAAGAACTACGCTTGTCAAATATCCTCCTTATGAGTCAATCTATGGGAAGGTCTATGTTTAGCAGTGGACATTGATAGCTGTAATGATAACGATTATAAAACAATGGTACAGGCGTATATCCCGGCAATGGTAAAAAATAGAGCCCTTCAATTATTGCCATTTCATCGTCCGCAAATACGAAGGCTGCACTAAAAGTATCGGGAATGGAATATTTCCACTGTTCCTGTCATATTAAATTTTTTTTAATTGAAAAGTCCTTGGTTTTAAAAATCGAATACCATTTATTTATTTAAAAAAAGATTCTCGGTCTTGTCACAAGGTTTTGTCAAACTTGTTTAGTCGTTGAGAAAATGGAATTGACTCGAGAAAATTCAACAGCGATGATTTATTATGACTTTTCTGCATTTTTCTGATTTCTGCATTTGGTGATGAAGCCCCATCCAAAACCACAATTTATCGCTGGTTTGCTGAATTTCAACGTGGACGTGTCAAGCTCAGTGATGATCCCCGTCAAGGTCGTCCAAAAACTGCAGTCACCCAAGAAAACGTTGATGCTGTGCGTAAGCTGATTGAGGAAAATCGACATGTGATATACCGCGAAATTCAGGCAACTTTAGACATTGGCATGAGTCAAATACAAATAATCTTGCATGAACAATTAGGTGTAAAAAGTTGTTTTCCCGATGGATACCGCATTCGCTCTGTGAAGAGCAAAAAGCGGCTCGCGTTACTTGGTGCGTCAGAATTCTCGAAAAATTCCACGCAGGATCCTCAAATGCTGTATACAACATCGTATTAGGTGACGAATCCTGGATATACGCGTACGACCCCGAAACAAAAAACCAGTCACGAGTTTGGGTGTTCGAAAATGAGTTAAAGCCAACAAAAATTGTTCGTTCACGGAGTGTTGCAAAAAAAATGGTGGCCACGTTTGTCTCCAAAACCGGCCATGTTACGACTATTCCTCTTGAGGGACAAAGAACGTCGTTTCTGAACTCCGTAAAGAGAACTGCAACCGCCGCATCATCCTCCATCACGACAATGCGAGTTCTCACACCGCACACAGAACAAAAGAGTTTTTAGAGCAAGAAAACATAGAATCATTAGACCATCCGCCGCACAGCCCCGACTTAAGCCCTAATGATTTCTATACTTTCCCTAAAATAAAGAATAAATTGCGTGGACAGAGATTTTCATCACCTGAAGAAGCTGTGGACGCCTACAAAACGGCCATTTTGGAGACCCCGACTTCCGAATGGAATGGTTGCTTCAATGATTGGTTCCATCGTATGGAAAAATGTGTAAAATTTCGCGGAGAATACTTCGAAAAGCAATAAATACATTTTTAAATAGTAATGTTGTGTCACTTCCTTGATTCCCGAAATTTTCAGTGCCGCCCTCGTAAGTTCCTCCGTGCATGTGGTTGCCGTAAAGCACCCAAAACGTCTAAAATAAGGAAAAGCTAAAATTGAACGTTAACTATGAAAGCAAATATTCACAGAACGGGATACAATCCGAAAAATTAAAACCAAATAAAACCAGTGACCAGGATAAAATAAAACTTAGCGATTGTCTTACGTGAGAAAAATTACGTTCTAAGAAATTAGTTCTTCAAGTAAATTGCATGATAAGCACTATATGTTCCACGAATTTCTTTATCTAAATGTACTCCGAGGTTAACGCAACAACTGGAACAACTCCAAGACAACTTTTGAACTATCCAACACTTGAAGCAGTGTATACAAGACATTAAAATCTGGCAACGATCTCATTTAAATGAAAAGAAAGTGTTTTTTTTTGTCGCAACACTCCGATAAATGTACTAATAAAGGGCTGCTTGCTGATGTAAGTGAGTATTTTTCTAACAAAATGATGAAGTCCGAGTAGTTTAGTAAAGTCCACCATCATATAATGTCAAACGATATTACTGTCGTGGAATAATGCAGCCACATCCAAAACCGCCCATCAGCAGAAGTTCTCATCTTGAAAGCATTCTTAAAGTTTTTGTGATATAAGATATTTATAACTATTTAGTAACATA